CTCTCGATTCTCTCGCTCTCGAAATGGACACGATTTTCGCGCACTCCTCATCACTTGATGATGACAACCGACATCATAATCATCATCATCATCATCATTACAATCTCTATATTTGTTCTCGTTATTGGGCTTCCCTTATTTGTCTCAAGAATTATGTCACATTAAACAGACGTAAAATAAAGAAAAAAAAAAACAAAACAATTTAAAAAGAGTTTTCATTTGTTTTAAAAGGCAAACAATAATATTCCCCGATTCGAGGATTAAGATACGCCCGTCTGCGAACGTTTCATCTCCAAATTGCTCAACTCCGAACCCAAAGTTGAATCATCGCTGCTCCAATTTCTTATATATAGGCAAACATTGTTTCGTAACCCGAAAAGAAAATAAATCGAGTCACCATCTCATTCGAGCCAATTACGGATATATATACAAAAAACAAAACAAACGAAGAACGTAAAAACAATTGCACAATTACGAGATGTTAGCATTAAAAAAAACGATAATAAATCCTATTAATTGAATGACATTAAATTGAGTAAATTTTACAATTAAATGAAAATCCCATCAATTCTAATTCAAAACTTCAAAAACAGCTGTTTCGAAATTTGTTTTCTCTAACGTCAAAGAAACGTCACATATCCATCTTTAAAAAACAAAGAAAAAATCAAATTATGTACAATGTGAGAAACCGAGAAAAACAAATAACACCACAAAATTGAAAATCAATTACGATTACCAACTTACGAAAAAAAAACTATTTACAATATGAAATTGTAGTTACAATAAGTTTGAAACCAATTACGGGTTTACAAAAAAAAGCCTCAATTGTAATTGAAAACTTCAAAAATAGCTGTTTCGTAATTAGTTTGTTTTCTCTGTAACGTCAAAGAAACTTCACTCATCCATCTTTAAAAAAACAAAGAAGAAATCAAATTATGTACAATGTGAGCAACCGAGAAAAACCAAATAACACCACAAAATTGAAAATCAATTACGATTACCAACTTACAAAAAAAACTATTTACAATATGAAATTGTAGTTACAATAAGTTTGAACCTAATTACGGGTTTAAAAAAAAAAACGAAACGCGTGGAATTAAATCGCAGCCCACGCGCTCCGTTTCGTAAACATTTGGATTATGTGTTTTTTGTTTTGTTTGTTTCGTTCGAGACGGTCATGTGTTTCTTTGATCGTGGTGCAGTGCAATAACGCTCTTATTTGGTGAAGGCGGCTTTGTAATTACAACTTCAACTTCGACGACAATTGAATTGCCAAGAATACCAACATGGCAATTTCATTCGAGTGAGAAAAAAGTGAGAAACATTCTGAGAGTTGGCAATTGGAATTAAAAGAATAAGATAAGAAATTACAGCTAAAATTACGTTTGACTTAATAAAAAACTGAACGTTGCGTCACCGTCAAACATCATCGTTATTATAACGTCGCAATAATCAAGATGTCAGGTATAAAAAACAGTCGCAATCGTTTACATAAATATTGTCATAGAGTTTAATTTTGTTACGAAATCGTTTCTAATCTCATAAGTGTGTGGTGTGTACTTTTTTTTTACACAACACTTCGAAGGTGCGTCTTTTGCATTCCACCGAAAGATATTTTTCACGCGAGTCACGGAAATCTCTTGAATCACAAACGTATTTATATTATAAAATGTATTTTGAAAAAAAAACGCAAAGATTTGTACTGTAGTGTAGACGGACGCGGTTAGAAATAAAGTTAAAAAAAAAGAAAGAATTATTTGAAATTACGTCATCGACAGAAGATATTCGGACTCTTCGTGACCGTGACAGAATTATTATTATTACGATTTGTACTTGGAAAAAAAATATGAAATAAAAAGTAATGTCACAGAAATGATTCATGATGAACTTAACAAAATCTCGCCATTTAGCGATCTTACAATTGGATTACGAAACTAACTCTTTTTTTGTTTCTATTTTTCGATTTATTAAAAGATATTTGAGAAACCTACAATAAACATGGTGTGCGTTGCATAATTCTTTTGTTGTTTTTTGCTATTATGTCAAACATCCATCGAACAATTGGCATAATTCGTCTGCCGTGATGCGAATAAATAAACGCGGTTGGCGTTGAAACTGTTTCATCATTCTCATTCATGACAGATATGTCAAACTTGAATCAACTGTTTCGCAAGTACTTTGTTTTCTGTAACGTCAAACAAACGTCATACTGTTACCAACCATTAGTTATTTAAAAACAAAAGAAGTTGAATAAAAAAAATGTAATCAATTACACAATCATTATTCCTCTCATGCAATAAGTTAAAAAAAAACTGCGCAAACTGGGACAAGATCGACAATGCGTGTGTCTGTGTCGCGCATTCGAAAACAAATTTGAATTTAGCGCGTCGAAAAACAAAAGAAATTCAATCAAACAAACAAACAAAACAGAAACGATTACTGCGTTTTATGCATGATGTTACGATGGGAAACGCGCGTTATTGCATAAGTCTGTTATTGTCAATTAGGAACGAACGATTGAACTTCAATTGAGACGAGTAATTAATTTTAATTAGATTATATATTTCAATTGCGATGTTTGCTTTCGCGAATCTCCTATTACGTTTCGACTTTTAACCTTTTAGGTTATCTGTCACTATTTGCCAACAAAAGAAAAAAAATAAAAAAAATGTGTGTGTGTGTTTTGGATCGAGTACGTTAACCGTTGCATAAAAAATATCGGTGCTAATCATCGTTATTAACGGTTGGCAGTAACGGAATGACCTTGAGCGTGCGAGATTCGCAAGGGCAAATTCAATATAATCACTTTCACCTACGCCAACAAAACAACAGAAAGAAAAAAAAACAACATCACCGGTAGTTGTAGTAATAAATGTCCGAGTTTTGTTTGCACGCTCGCTTGCTCGATGGTTTTTAATGCTTCTTCCTTAAAAGGTGAGATCGAGAGCGCGCGGAAAACAAAAACCGCACGAAACCCTTGAGAGAGGAGGACGGAGCAACGCCGCACTTTCGTTGTTGCACGATGGAAATAGCGAAGAAGAAGAAATCACAACCGAAATTTTGTAACACAGCCTCCGCAAAATAATATAAATTTAACAAAAAAAAAAAGAGAAAACAATTGCACGATCGAATTTTTGTTTTTTCGCAATCGCATTGTCGATGTCACATAAATATCCATGTTATATTGTAATTATTAGAATTCGTAACCTCGAAATTTGTTAAACGTCAAATCTAAAATTGACAGAAATTTTCTGCAAATGTATAAATTCAAAAGCAGTGTTAACAACAGAAGAAATAAATAACAATAAAAGTTGAAATTCGCAAACGTAACGTTGTCAAATTTTTTGGATGTCAATGTAATTTGACAAGTTAAATATGTCACCTGTATGATTATGACATAAGGATGTTAGGTTATAATTAGAACGTGGAAATGACGGCTTACGCTACGTAATCTCTCGTTCGTATCAATCGTAAATACAATAGATCAGTCTTAAGATTAGATTAGCGGAGGATTAAACTAACCTATCTCTCTGTTGACGAATTGACTCAATCAATATAAATATTTGCGAATAACATATAAAAAAACCAAAAGCTAATTATGTAGACTACATAGTTTACTTGTTTGCGTAAATGCAATTGTGCGTGTTTCGTGGGCGTCGTCTTCGTAAACGCGGTTTCTCTTTTCAAAGACCCAACATTTTGCAACAAAAACTCTGTTAACTTATCGTTACAAATGCGGAATAATTGGAGAACGACCACCGTTTGTGATTCATTCGCTCTCGAATCGATATAGACTCGAATTTTGTTTCCTTTCGATTTTTGAAAGAAACTCTACGAACATTACGAAACTAAACTGTTAAATAAACACACCACGATCAAAGACGCGCGATACTTCCGCGCTGCAACGTGCGTCAATATTTGCGAATCGGTCGTAGTTAATTTGAATACAACATCGTCCATTACTTCAAGTACTAATTTCTATTTATTTATTTTTTTTTGTACACGTATAATAAGGAAATTATCGAAGCGTAATTTCTAATTTTAGATACGGAGAAAACAAACACATTCGGACAATAAAATCGCTTCGTGCGTAGTCCAATAATCGCATCCACATAATCCCCGACACTCGACAAAAAATCGATTAGAAATTTGTCAAAAACATCACTCCGGCCATAAAATGACATACGAATTTTTTTGTTTTTTTCTTTTCTTCTGTCAACACAATCGTTTTTTTTTTTGTTATTAGTAACATTTTGAATGATTATAATTAATTAATTTATGTTTGTGCGCGAATTTTCAAATAATTAATCATTCAGCAAATCTGTAGAAATAATCAGTTTCTTACAATTTGACATGTCCATGAAGAATTTTATTTTGTTTGTTTCTTTGGTTACGTAACGCTGCAAATGTCATATTCTTTTCTATTTTAATTAATGGTTGTCATGGAAGCAAATAATTAATAGAATTGGCGATAAACTGACAGATGTCAAAACGGATTGCTACGGTTACGTCGATGACATTTCGTTTTTTGTTTATCATCATGGAAGCCAACGTCAACGTATGTTGTTTCTTAACGTATTAGATCTTGCGACCTTGACTGATCGATTTCATCTCACCTTCACCCACATCGTCTTCTCTATTACACTTGAAAAAACACACAAAAAAAAATGAAAATCAATTAAATCATCGGAAAGAGAGAGAATCCCGACCCTAATTTGGAGTACCGCAAGGATCTTTACCGATGATATGACTACTTATTTATTAGACTGCGTCGATTGTGGTTGTGGACGATGATTTCGAAACGGAAAGTCGACCGAATCGAATCGCACAGATGATGATGGTGATGTAATATGTTAAATAATAGAAATTTGCATTTTCAAATGTTGATGAAGGCGATGAAAAGAGTAAAGAAAGAAGTGGAATGCCGCGGCGGCTTCCCCCGTTACGTAAACAAATCGTTAATATGCGTTACTTCTCATCTTCTCTATTAGTGGACTCACCTCGCAGAGAGCGACTCCGGTCTCCAATTTATCCATGAAATTCTCGGTGCAGATCCTCAAATGCGGATAGAGCATGTCCAACCATTCGGCGAGATCTTCGCGCATCGCGTACAGATACTCCTCGCTCGATTTGAACGGCCTGAAGGGCCTCGATTCCAAGAGAACCCCGGACATCTTCGGAAATGTTCAACAAAAACAACAACAAACAATAACAACGACAGCAGCAACAACAACTACTGCAACGCACAGTCCTTTCTACGCTTCTTTCTTTTAACGAGTCTTCGATGAACACTTAACTAATAAAACGGTCCGGCGTTCCCTGACATCGCATCATCAGAATCTGAAAAAAAAAAACAAACAACAACATTAATAAATCAATCTAATAAAATATGTAATTAACGATACGAAAAAGTAGTTCACGCGAATTGAGTGCGATTCAGAGTGGAAATATGGAAATTCGATTGCGGCGCCATCTAGCTGCGGAGGCGGTGGCGGCGGCAGTGGGCGTCGCGAAATATCATGTAACGCACTACTGTTACACAAATTAGCGACGAATCAAGTAGCGCCCAAAAAACAAAACAAAAAAAAACAATGGCGAAAACAATGCAAAACAGTTCCGTGTCACTTACTTTTTGGGATCAGGCAAGAAGGAAAAGATTAGTTTCGAATTATTCAAATGATCAACAAGTGCGCGTGGGTCGTTCGTCTGATTTTGGGTAGAATCGAATGTAGAAAATTATTAATGTTCGCGAAATTTTCATCTCCTGAGAGCAGGATGTGTTTTGTGCGCTGAGCACAACAAGCGTTGTTGTATCACCATAGAAACCAAGAATAATAATAATAACAATCGGTTTCGTAACGTCCTTGAGGGTGAAACGTGTGGTCCGATCGTTTGTGTGTTGAATAATTAAAATGTCGAATCGATGAAAAACATTGCTCGTTCATTTCTAACAACTGTTTTCTCGAAATTTATCGATTTTAACTAACGATGGAGAAGAACAGAACAACAAACACTACGGTCATAGTCTAGTCTGCTATTGCTGTTACGTTTTATTGTTGCGTTTGCACAAGAAATGAACGAGGATGGTTGGTCTCTTTTCGCCTCGTTCAAATCACCGATGAATTCGTGTCCCATCGCTAATTGAAAATTCAAATTCGTTTGTTTCGAACGCTACCAATTGTATAAATATAATAAAAAGAAAAAGAAAGAAGAAGTGGTGTTTCCTGATGTTTCGTGGCTCCAGCATTTGTTTGTCCCTCCTGCTAATTGGGTCACATAAGTGTGTGTTTTTTTACTCTCTTCTTATTTTTTCATTTTCGGGACGTGCGAGATGCATTAAATTGCGCAAGAATTCCGCTTGAGCGTTAGGAAATCACACATCATCATCATAATCATTTGTTTAATTAATTACTCGGTTTCAATTTTGTGTCTCCGTCTGGCGTTTAGTTAAATGAACATTCCTAGAATCAAGTGCGTTGAAATTTAAACAGCTGTTTAAATTTAAAACAAAAAAAAAACGTTTCTAATGTCAGATTTGACATTATACAAGAATAACTTATTTTTCAATATATAACAGACTTATTATTCTGTTTGTTTTTTTTTGTGTTAATGTAGTAAATAGATTAAATGTAAATTTTGAAAATATATCAATTTGTAAAATAATCGACCAAAAAAAAAGAGTAATTAACATCCGCGTTTTGACGTTTACAATTTTTTTTTTCTTCTTTTGTTTTGTTGATTTGGTTGCACGTTTTGAAAGTTGCATATCATTTAGAGAATAATAATAATAATAATTCACGGAAATCGTTCTTACATGATTTCTAAATATATATATAATTTTTTTTCTATATATTATTAAAACGTTACCGAAAGAAAGATTTATATCGTTGTTATTATTAAACGACTTTTAACGTTTGTTGCATAATAACCGAATCATAATTTACGATCCAGCCTGCCTCGGATCGTTTCTTTTTTTTGTTTTTTTTTTCGTAACGCACCTTCGATTCTAATTCGTTGAAATTAGTACCATCGAATGGTGTAATTGTTTCGAGATCAAAGATCGATCGTTATCACTCCTCGATTTATCACTTATTTTTGGATGATCGAAAATAAAAAAAGTACCGATTCACGAGACAAAGTTCGTGGTATTTGCATGTTTTTCCAACTCGTATTTTTCTTTATGGTTGGTTGGTGCGCGTCCCTTTTGGGATTTTAGTGAATGGACGTCTTTGTGCCACTATCTCGAGATTTCCGTTGATTTTTTGAAACTTATTTCTCCGTCCTTCTACGGAAGAACTGTTGTTGAGTCGAGGCCGCAAGAGTAGAAACGATAAAAATGTTTATTTTGCGAGATAAGCGCCCGTTCGAAACGGCCTTTTCACACCATCATTGACATTCATTTTCGCCTCGCACTGAACGCATTTGTTGTCCATCGAGAGCCACACAATTGGCCTCACTTTGATGGATCATCTTTGTTTATACGTTTGTTCAATAATATTCACACACTCCATCACAAAAGTATACAACTTGTTCGCGTTCGCATCAACAATGAAACCTTTCATTTTTTGTTTATTTACTCAAATACCATAGGGTAATGACCACAAACGCTCTGCACTTCTTCTCTGTTACTTCATACAACATTTGACATTCGATTTATTTTGAGAACCGTCACATTTGAAATAATAAACGTCAAAATTGACATGTCCGTTCGGCTTAACCTTAACATCGCAAATTTATTGACGTTTATTACTGTCATTTGAAAGGCGAATAAAAGAAAGTCAAATTTTTTCGTTTTACAATGGTTGCAACCATTGCGATAGGTGGAAAAAGTTCCAATAAAAAAGCTTCGTTTACATTGTTGAAGAGAATCGAACGGTTGCGGCCGTGGTGGTCGTAACGGCGGCTTTCGTTTTTCGAGTTTATAATAAATTCAATTAACAGCGGTTAACCGTTAATGGGACATCGTTTAAGGCGAATCGAAACGAATTGCCTTTCCGCCCGTATTCCGCCTCGTCCGTCCATCATCATCATCACCATCACCATCGTAACACTGACGGACGAAGCCTCCTCCTCTTTCTGCTCCATCAAAAAGACGACCATGGCAACGAAACAAAAGAAGCGCAACAGAATCAAAAGAATCAAAAGAGAACACAACCCATCATTAATCGAGTTCTCTGGGAAGTTGCTGTACCTGCTCAATATATCCAATCGGAACGGTGATTTATGTACGAGTTAGAGGGGGTGAGGGGGTGGTTGTTAAAAAGAACATTTCGTAAGATGTAACCTACAATTTTTCATCCCCCCAAAGAAAACCAGGTATAAAAACAAAAGTTAAAGATGACTTCGAACTTTTTCAAACTTCGTTTCTGAATTATTATACTTTACGATTCAATAATCATTACTAAATATTAAGAAACAATTGACAAAAACTTTTCTTTTTTTTTTTTGCTAATATATCATTTAAATGGTTTGACATTTGACATTAATTACGTCAACGTCAATTGCAGATTTGATTGTCAAACTTCAAAGTTAATTTAAAGTAAAATAATGAATGTTTTTGAATTAATTTATAAAAAAAAAAAATAAATTCGATTAGACATTGTTTTCAAATTGAAACAATTATTGAAACTCATTTTTAAAAATACAATTTTGAACAATTGAAATTGACATATTTTATAAAGTTAGTAATCTATTATCATGAATAATTGCAACATTGATTTGTTTGTTAGTTAGTAATAGTTTAAATAGTTTTTTTTTTGGTTGATGTTGTTGTTGAATACTCACTTATTAGAAAAATCTTTCGTTGTGCAGTACGTATAATCCCTGTGAGTGTTCTTGAGAAAGCCACACGATAGATTGATTGATTTTGCAGTGTGCGGGGGTGTCTGAGCAGTGTGAGTGAAGAACGAGTGTTTGCTTCTCGCCGTCGTAGTTGAAGCTGTCTGTCTGTAGTCCTAGTCGTCCGATAGCGCGACGTTAACTGAACTCGCGCAACGCGCACCAAATCACTACTATATATACGAGTTACGTATATCTACGAGCGAAACGACGAACGGATACGAAACTGCAGCAGCAGCAGCAATCGTTCGGTAATCCACACTATATGTTTTCTACTACCATCGTTTATACTGCAATTGTTATTTTTAATTGTTAGTATATATAGTGATAATCTTTTAATACACTAATTGAACGTCTATCTGGTTTTATCGCGAAGGGAAGCAGCAGTGGAGAGATCGGCCGCCGCCCCCAAGCCGTCTCGACGCATTGCCGCAATCAATATCATTGCACACTGGTGGGCTACCTGCTGCCACCCTCCGGCGTCGCGACGCCCACGCCGACGCGCACCGAAACCACCATCGATTCCACACGAATTTCATTAACTTTCATTCTGTCTTTACTGAAACGTCATTCTGACAGTTTTTCATTACAATTTTATTACTTAAACGTCATTTTGACATTTCATTGAATTTTAGTTGCGAACTGTCAAAATTAAACTGCTTTTCATTTGTTCAGAAGCTCAGTTGTCATTCTTCAACAGACAAAGTTCGTTGGTTGATGATATTTGATTACATTTCTCCACACAAAAACTCAAACTCAAACGGTTTTTAACTATTTTTACGTATATCCTGCACATCTGGATAGTTAAATACGTAAACAGTTGTTTCAATCTCAATTGAAGACGTCTGATTGTATCCTATCTAATGAATTTTTGACAGCTAAGTGTCAAAAAAACAAAGTTTAACTTTTAAATCAATTAGAGGAAATCAAAGATTATGAAAATCACAATTTCCTTTAATAATCAACATATTTTTTAGCATAATCTCTTCATCCATTATCTAAAAGGATGACAAAGTTGGAGATTAGAAATTTCTACGAAAAATCTCCCAAAAACGGTCCGTAACTATTTTTACACCATGTTATGAACATCTGGAGGACGGGTAAACCCGAAAATGAAAGAAAAAAAAACAAGAGAGAGACGTAAATGAAATGGTTGTGCCGTTTTGGCGTTTGGTGACATGCGGCACGTAGCTCTTCAATCACATCCTCAAACGACGAAAAATTCACATTCACGTTACGCAAACGTCGGATCCGCTGAATCCGTAATAGCCGATTAATTAGTATACGCGCAACACATAATAAACTATACACACATATTTTTAATAGAATTATATAAAAAATTGAAATATATATGAAATAACGCTGCGTACTAATACTAATTAGTTGCACAATCCGTTCGGTGGCCTTCCACAACTCTTAATTAATTAATGTTTTTTTACCCGCAAATCAGGATATCTATGAAACGCATTTTAATAATCTCCATGGTTACTGTATGTTACGATCAGTCTCCAGGGAAGTAAAAGTTTGTTTTTCTACTGTCTCTCTGCATTCAGACTCTTAAAGGAAATTGTAGTTTTGTTGATTCGAGTATTCGGTTTTGATTTCCATAACGTCGTTTGGTAATCCGCACACGGGACGCTTCCTGTTTCGTCGATGAGTTAATAAACAATTTTCTGCGTCGAAATATAATCAAACAAGGAATGAATGAAACTGTGGCTTTTCAATGTGGAAATGTCAAGTGTGCTCCAAAAAAAAAACAAACAAACGAATGAACAAACAAAATCGTTTGATGGCTGCTGTTGCTGCTGCTCGCAATTATCCTTGTACATTTTTGCGAATGCGTCTGTCTCATATAATTATGATTATTGTTATTATATTATGGGCGCCTGCAAGTGTAATCTTGAGACGAGAGTGTGCGAGGTCTTGAGAAGTCTCAAAAACAAATTATGTTTCATGTCATATGTCACTGCATATGACAGATGTCATATTTGGACGTAACCAAGAAATAGTTTAAACTAATTGATTTTGACAGACGTCACGCATATTGATAAGTTAGATGTTTCGCTTTTACGTTGAAAATTGAAGAATTTCAATATAAGAGATTTGTAGTAAAACTTCAAAGAGTTTGAATTGAAATACGGAATGTTTGACAAACGGATATTTTGACAGGTGCATATTGACAGATGTCAGGATTGGATCCGTCACACGATGATGGATGCGAGGATAACAGTTGGAGAAAAAGAGAGTGTAATTAGCGGGATATGAGAATTACGCGCATTAATCGCTCATTGTTCGCGCTAACGAAGTTTGTGTATTAATGAAAGTCAGAGAGACGCGCGCGCGCGAATCGGTTTCATCTTCTCACGCGCTCTCCGCTGCATCGCGCTTTTACTTTCTACACCGTTCAAAACTAATCAAATAAGATGGATATATGTGTGGTTGTGGTTGTTGTTGTTGTTTCGCATGGGAAATATGCGAATAGTCGAGCAAACCTACCTCCTACCACCTACTTCTCAAATACTTCTATTATTATTATCTCTCTGTGTACCACCTTAAACATTCCAATCTTCCTACCTGCGTTAGGAACGTTCTTTCCACACTTTCCCGATCTCTGTTCTAATGATCAATGAACGCACGCGAATTGGAAACAAACGGGAACAGTTAGCCGTGGCAAAACTAGTTAGCCCACTCTGGTGTAGAGTGTAGATCTCGGTGGTAAGTACGTACCAGCAACTGCAGATCAAGCAGGTGGCCGGAACGCAATGCGCGACGGCCCACGGACGAAATACAACACCATTCAGAAATTCCGCAGAGATTTGCGTGCAATACAATAAACACTTATTCCAATCGCTATGGTAACGACAACAACAACAACCGTAATATGACAATATGCCAATAAACATATCTCTATGGTAACAGTAACATGTTATGCGACTTCCTCTCTCGATTGTTCCGTGATGTAATTGTGCCCTGCAGAACAATTTCATATTATTTTGAAATCGTAAATTTTATATTATATTTTTATATTCTGTGAGATCGATCGCCTTTCACTCTAACTCAAGATCTGTAGAAAGGAAACGATCACCATCCCCGAATATACGTACGTAGTATCGCAATCAATTTGGACTCGTTGACTCATTTCTCTCCACTTCTTCTTCTGGTTGCTGTTGCCGTTGTTTGTGGGCTGTGCGTGTTGCCGCAATTCCTCAATGGAATTCAATTAGGAACGGAGAGAGATAATTAACAACGACAAGGAGAGTATTCGATAGAAATAGTGGCGATTGGCGACGATCGTAGAGAAAGAAGCCACCGTTCATGCGAATTTTACTGTTATCGATCGTGATCGGAATCGATTTGAAGAATGATCGAAGAAGGCGCTACTTCTCGATCATGTATAATGCATAATCTGGTAATCCAGTTCCATCCGCAAAAAAAACAACGACACACAACAACAACAAATGACAGATGACAGTTAAATTGGAACGGATCCATAGCAACCATCAATATTGACGATAGCAACAAATAAACAACCAGGGCAAACTTAATTTTCTCTCTCTTCGAATTTCAATAAATTAACAACACGCGTGCCTCGACCATTGCTCAGCACCGATTTCACGCAACAATTAACAATCAAAATATAACCCATTGAAATTCGAAAAATGCCATTGTTCGTTTTCTGGGTTTTCTACTAATATATATATAGTGTGTATATATTGTATAGATAAGTGGTTCATGACCTCAGTCTAATCATTGGGGATCCGGAAGGTCCATGACATCTATTCTCATATCATATAAGTCAAGTATTTTCAACTCAGAGAGAAAGAGATTTGAACGAAAAAAGCACATAGATCCTACCCCAAAAAAGGATGTGTTGCCATGGTCACGACCTCAAGAGTTCGCTGCCAATGGTAGCAGACATCATCTGCGCAGATAAGAGACGGCGGCGGCGACGGTGACAGTCGAAGATCGCCCATTAAAATTGTACGTACTGTAGAAAGCCGACTTGGATTGTTTTTATTTTTTATTTTTGGCGTTCTATTGGTCTCTAAGGCTAAGGCCGATCGATGCATCATCGTAATTCATTCGCCGCACTCGAAATGGTATTGGCAATTAAAATTGTATTGCTGCACACACACACACACACCTTATACGGGCTCTATTTGCTACCAATTTCAGCTGTCCGCCCGACAGGGTTACACACTCGACTCTTCAAATTAATAACCTTCAATTACTTAAGATCACAAAATCAGTCTACAAACAACAACAAAACACGACTAGAAACAATGAAGCAGCCATCGTTATAAACAGTAGCCATGGTTACTATTTTGTTTTTTTTTCATATGCGATTCGATTTGAACATAATTTATGAAACTGCAGATGTTAGTAGAAGCGATTGACATTTTCAAAAACCGATCTTTCCTTTCACCAATAAAAACTATCCGTTTCATCTCAAAGTGAATTTAAAATTAAACGAGAATATTCGAAAACTTTCGAAAAGCTGAAAAATATAAATAAATGTTTGCGTGAGAGATTCAAAGGTTTTTCCTATGGAAATGAACAAAAGAACGGCGAGAAAAAACAAACGCTGTAAAATAATGTAATCGTATTGGATTCCTGCGAAACAAATGAATGGATTTAACGTGTATGTGCGTAGAGTAATATCGTTTGTTCGTTTGTTTTTAGCGTGTGAATCACGATTAAAATACAATTTTAATTATCTCTAAGTTCATTTCAATGTTTTCGAAACACATCACAACACATGCAATTGTATTTTCCCATTGACTACGATATAAACATACATTATTCACACTGATTACTATTATTAATAGGATTCCCGTAATCCACGTAAACTATAAATACTATTTCTCTATCATTATTATTTAGTGTTAGATTTAATTTAGAAAACGCACTCAATCTATCTAATTTACACGCTTTAGAAACGTATATATTTATTTTTAATGTTGGTAACTGCTTGCGCGACGTAATTTATGATCGCTCGTTAGCGAGCAAAAGGAGTCTTCTTTCTTCGTGCACTCGAAATGAAGTGACGTTAATGATGGCAGATTGAAAAAAGGAAAAGATGATGTATTGATTGATTGAAATTGAATTCTGCCCCATCAATATCTTTATTTTCCCATTCCTGCTCATTAAATTGACATATTATTAAATGAGACACGAACGAGAAAGATTAAGTTAATTAAATGCATCAAAATCGAACCTCCCGTGATCATTGAATGCACATCTTGCAATTGTTTCAATATAAATTGTTTTAGTTTTACTTTTGTTCT